ACAAAACGACAGAGAGTCGCGTCCAGCTTATAACAAAGAGATGCACATTTTGCAAAAGACTTCATTTCGGCAGTTGTTTAAAAGATCCAAGGAAAATTGCATGTGAACTATCTTGATACACACGAAGACTCTGATGAAGATGAAAGTTCAGGTTAACGTGAAAGTTCAGATGGACGAATATACTATGTATCACATGATGTTGGTTCTTTGCAGTCTCGTGGAAAACAGTGGTTTGTGGACTTAAACTTGAGAGTTCCTAGTGAAGAATGGAAATTTGATTTGGAGTGTCAAGTACACCTTGCAACCAAATGAGCTTCAAAGACTATTGCTATTTGGCTCAATGCGTCCATTATGAAATCTCTAAGCGAGGCAACTTAAAGTGTGTGAACAATGGTGAAACTCATATCCTGAAATTCCAAACTTTTGAATGGGCAACAGAGACAATTTCTGTCTGCAGAAACATGTGAAGTCTTGAATCGCATGAGTCGGAGTGACAGCGTCTACAGTGTTTGTGAAGTACAGTCTCAACACTAGTTGACTACTTTCCCCTTGGTTGCTATCGTTGGTTACGTATGCCATCTGGCATAGCCACAGCTCCTGAAGAATTCTAAAGACGTCAGCATGAAGTCTTGGAAGGATTATTCGGTGTTGAGGTAATCCATGATGATATTCTCGTGTATGGATGTGGCGACACACTTGAAGAGGCAACATGGACCGTGACAGGAGCTTGATCAGTTTACTTGAGAGAGCCAGAAACTCAAAGTCTAAACTACGACTTCGACACTCAGCAATGCACTACCTTGAACACCTCCTCACAGCCGAGGGTCTGAAACCAATTGAAAAGCCGGAGAAGGTGCGTGCAGTCACAGACATGCCCAAGACTAACAGACGCAAAGAGTGTTCAACGCTTCATTGGATTCACCAACTAGCTATCCAATTTCTTGCCCCGCCTCTCCGAGATATGTGAACCTCTCAGACGTCTTCTTGACAAAGACACAGTATGTTAGCAGAGTCAACATGAAAAAGCCCTTGAACAAATCAAGGAAACGATCACAAGTACTCCTGTGCTCAGGTACTATGATGCCGAAGATGAAGTGACAATCAATCTGATGCAAGTGAAGTAGGCCTTGGAGCTGCCCTACTCCAAAATGGACAGCCGGCATGCTTTGCCTCAAGATCACTCTCTCAAACTGAACAGCGCTACGCACAAATTGAAAAAGAATGTCTAGCCATTGTGTTTGCTTGTGATGTGAACACTTCGAACAGTACGTCTAAAGACACAACGTAATTCATGTCGAAACCGACCATGAGCCTCTGGAAAGAATCTTCAAGAAGCCTCTTTTGTCGGTTCCGAAGTGACCACAGAGAATGCTCCTTCGACTACAAAAGTATCACCTTGACGTCAACTACAAGAAATGCTCTGAAATGTATACTGCAGATTTCCTCTCACAGACTTCGCTTCCAATGGGAAAGGTGGAACCTTCAACTGAAAGACTATGAGATATGCTCCATCTCCAGTGAAACCTCATTCATCAGTGAACCAGAAGAAGTCAACGCAGCCGAGTACATTCCTGTCACTGATCAGAGACTTGATTCAACGCTTAACAGATCAAGACACCACTCTACAGGCTTTAAGGTCAACGGTTCTTGCCGTATGGCCAGAACTACGAGAAGAAACGCCTTTATGCATCGGAGATTTCTGGAACTTCAGAGAGAAATTACTTAGAGAGGACTTTGCGCAACTTAAAAAAGCAAATTCTGTTATGACCGTGAATCGAAACAGCTTCCTGAACTTACCAATGGTCAAGCTGTATGTGTCCAAACATCGCAGTGGAAGGTGGAAGCTAGGAACATGTATACAACAAGTCTCACCGAGATCCTACATCGTCAACATTGATGGGAAGCAGTACTGTCGTAACCGCAAATTCCTGAACGGAACGGCAGAGAACATTCTGAAGGCTACGAAGATTTCCGAAAATAAAATAGGACTATTCTACATTTTGGATCCAGACATGGTTATCCCCCTGTGTCAACAACACCAGAGAAGGTTGTTAAACAACAGCCACAACTTGACGTACAAACAGAACCTGGTACCCGAGGTGTCCAAAGATCGACCCGATCTGTGAAACCACCAGACTGATTCACATGAGACTATGTTCTTTTTAATAGTGTTTGGATCAAGCTAATGTTCCAGCTTAGTGTATTCTTCAAATTACATTTTATCAGGAACATTAAAGATTACAAGCTAGCAAAGTGCTAAAATCTTTTTACAGTTTTATTGAGTCCCAGCTATCACTGAATATTTCAAAGACTCTAACGTGAAATCTGAAATAGCCTTTTCAGTCTTAAGTGCATATTCAATGATGCTCATTCACAGCAATGTGATTGTTGCAGTTATAATCATTCAAGTTCTGAAATTGAAAGTTCTAAAATTCTGTTAAGTTAAGTATGAAAAAGGGAATGTTACGTATGATTTCAGTTGCTGCCATATTTTGTATATTTGTGAATGTTTCTCTGATATTCGAGAGAAATATATTGTGAAATATTTAAGTCAGCCTCCGACGATAAACAACTTTATACATACTACGCAATCTGCTAATGTCGATGTGATTAAGAATGTTTCTTTATTTTTATATTATGTACAAATTAGAATTAAGAGCAGAACATTTTGATAAATCATTGTGTACCATTCATGTGATGTGTGATCATGCATTTGACTGTATTATGGGCCAGTGGCCTTTTACTGAATAAAACTGTCTGTCTGTATGTCTGTCAGTTGCTGCTGCTGCTTTGTCTGCATCAGTTGTGTAGATGCCGCTGTAATATTGATAGAGAAAGTGTGTGCGGAGCGTTCAGAAACCGTCACTCACTCACACAGTAGCAAATATTGTTCACTCTCATGTATAGCATAGGGTGTCAGATTACACCTCTCTGTACGATATTTGTACTGTCAGGACATTTGTATTCCTTTGTAGAGCAAACACAACAGGACACGTTAACTGATCTAATAATGAACATAAATATGTTATTGGGATTCATGAGTCGTTACTTTGTTCAATGTATACGTTAATGTCGAGATTTTCGTTTGTTTGTAATAAACAATTAACCGGCTCACGTCGTCAGAAAATAATGCTGTCTTCACTCACCATCATCTGATGTCTCTTTCGGGCGTTCTTGCAATGTTATTTGGCATGTTCAAGGCTTCAAAATATTGACGATATTTTAGTTAACATACGATGACATCATTAAATAGATATTGCTCACTAATGCAGTGAGTGAGTATGTTTTTACGCCGCCTTTATCAATATTCAGGCAATATCACGGAAATGGGCTTCACACATTTTACCCATGTGTGGAATCGAACCCGGGTCTTTGGCCTGACTAGCGGTCGCATTAAACAGTAGGCTACCCCACCGCCCCTTACTAATACAGGGTTTCAATTTGGGCAGCAAAGTGCATGATAATCTGCATCCGGTTATGGACATGCGCTCTACAGTTCCGCAATCGCGGTATAACGTGGTTACAAATTCAAATCCTCATATGTATTTTTAAATTTACATTATTGCAGGTTAGATACGGTGTTTATGACTACTTATGTATATCGTAATCTAATTCTCCAAAGTTCTCTTTGTATCCCTTAGATGGCATTAGTCGCAGATGCCATTCTGCATATCCAGAACCATAGGGATAATATATTTCGTGTGAAATACCGATCTTTGACATGTATCTCTTAGTAATTCTGTCGAGCCGTGAAGATCCGGGTTAGAATTGGCCATCGCGGTTGTCGTAAGTAGCGTCTAACTTTTTATATTTTTTTATTTACGCTTTTTTTGCTTGTTTATAGGTACAGTACATGTGGTCAACGTATAACATTGATAGGTACAATTGAGCTGATATACAAGATTACAAAAGCAATCAATGATATTTCTATAAAAAAAGTCTGCAAATGGCATCACATACCATGATGCCATATGTATGGGTACGGGTATGTATGTATGTATGTATGTATGTATGTATGTATGTATGTATGTATGTATGTATGTATGTATGTATGTATGTATGTATGTATGTATGTATGTATGTATGTATGTATGTATGTATGTATGTATGTATGTATGTATGTATGTATGTATGTATGTATGTACGGGTACGTATATGTGTGTATGTATGTAGATACGTATGAATGTACAGGTGGATATGCATTCAATTTGTATCTATATGAAATAAGGATGACAGACAAAATCATTCATCCCTCTCCTTATAGTGCTGGAAAAGTGTATGTAGAGATGACCAAAAGGAGAAAAATTTGTCAACACCACAAGAGGAAGAATAAACATATCTTGTAATGTCATAATACTTAATTATCTCCCTTTTCACATGACTGATAAAGGGTACAGTTGAATTTCTGCTGTGTCTAAAGATAACTTGCTTTACAAGAAGTATTATGGCATTAATTGGATTATTATTTTTTCCTCTAATTCCAAGTAAGACATTCTGTTTTGTGAAATATAACGGAATATTCAAGTCAGTGAAAAGCCATGAAAGTAGCGTCTAACTGGTGGTCAGGCTCGCTCACTTGGTTGACGCCTGTCATCGAATCCCATTTGGGTAGATCGATGCTCATTACGTCTATCACTGGATTGCCTGGTCCAAACTGGATCTACACACAGTACATGGAAAACTGAGTGCGGCGTTAAACTACCAAACGAACAAGTAAAACTCCCACTTTTAGTAAATGTTCCTGGGATCTGTTAAACGCGCCGTTAAAACGGTAACAACCTGGTTACCAAAGTTTAATTTATTTTGTGGGTAACAATGACTTCACTGGGGGTAATCCTGTTCTATGCCAGTTTTGATGGTTGCCTGTACCTAAAACTACTTGAAAGAAGACTCGAGTATTCCATTCCACATAAGATCAGTCAGTAAACATTGCTTCGTAATACGCTCAGCAGATAAAAGCAACAAAAACAGTCCCATAATATGATTAAGTAACAAAGAAGCTTTGTAGCCATTCTTTAATGACATGGAAATGAGATGTGTACATAGTTTGCAAGGACCATTCAGTATATATCCGTGAGTGTGATTGATGTGTTGTGCCGGACCATCCATGAACCTCAGCCCCTCAGTTCCAGTTTGAGAGGTTTTATGCTGCAACAAATGAACAAACATTAGTGTGGTCACACGTACATGCAACGGTGGAGTAGCCTAATGGTGAAATCGTTAACTCGTCACGGCGAACGCCCGGGTTCGATTTCCCACATAAGTACAATGAATAAAGCCCTTTCTGGGGTCCCCCGGCATGATTGTACCGGAAAATATTTAAAACGGCGTAAAACCCGACTCACTCACTCACACAAATAAGTACAATCTAGCAGGTTGTTGTACTCCAGGTTGGGGAATCATCTCATGGCGAATCTCGTATTCGTGATCCTGAGTGAGTGAGTGTGTGAGTGAGTGGTTTTACGCAGATTTTAGCAATATTCCAGCAATATCACGGCGAGGGACACCAGGAATGGGCTTCACATCGTGATCCCGAAACACACCCACTGGCTGTCCCTCATTTGACTATACATCATGCACGGCATGGATATATCCCCCTTTTATGATGTTTGCAAAATATGAGAAATATAATGACTGTTGTTGGTTATCACAAATAAGATAAATATCTCTAATAGAGAGAAACAGTAATGTAACCGACCTTGTTGGTATGGCTTTTCTCCGTACCAGTTGCCCCTGTAAAACAACAAAGAGATATCGTTATGACATCATTGCATTACAGAACGTTTGTCATCAACTATTTTTGTGATCCTTTCACCACTTTAACTTCTTGTACGCCCAGTGGAACCATGTTTCGTGATTCCATAAATATCGGGACTCATCAATTAGCTTGACGTTAGCTGCGTTGTCAGATTATTCAAGCCGTTCCAGAGTAAATTCTGACATAAATGCCCTTGCAACGTTTCTAGTGTACCAGAAAACTATGTTGTCACCTCCAATCTGTATGATCACTTTCATGTTTGTTCAGAACTGAAACCTAACACCTGAAGTGATTTAGTTCCAGATTTCAGGAGACTTTGAACACAAATGACCAGAAGTTTCAGACCCATTCAGGTTACACATCGTAACATCTAAATATCTATTCATTCCTACATCTCAAAGCCATATCTATGGCAAAAACGTGAATGATAGTATAAGGTCTGAATTGTTGAAATGCTTTGCTTCTTAGCCGCGTCAAAACTGAATTACTCCCTTACTAAACTATACTGAAATTTAAAACCTAATGGATATTCAGTGGCATATTCAGATGTAAATATGAACTATTTCAGGAAATTGTTATTTACATATTCCCATTTATAAAAATGCAATACACATCGAAGAATATATAACACTGTAACCTTTTACTCCGCACTCAGCAATATTCCAGCTATATGGCGGCCGTCTGTAAATAATCGAGTCTGGACCAGACAGTCCAGTGATCAACAACATGAGTATCGATCTGTGCAATTGGGAACCGATGACATGTGTCAACCAAGTCAGCGAGCCTGACCACCCGATCCCCTTAGTCGCCTCTTACGACAAGCATGGGTTACTGAAGATCAATATTCTAACCCGGACCTTTACGGGTAGTAATGCTGTTAAATCCGAGGAACTTACTCGTGGTGTTTCAGTGATTTGACTCACATTATAGTAAACACGCTTCATGATTCCATGCGCAGTTGATACTAAGGGAAACATCGAGACAGGTTTATGTGTCGTGTTGCAGTTATTACAGAGGTAATTTTACTCACTTGGGATCGTAAAAACATACGAGGTATTGAATATTCTTTCCTCCAGGCATCTGGGGTATTTGTCTGCACTTCTTCATTGCACAGCCAACCTTCCTTGTTTCGGCCCAGATCACCTGAAATCAGTCAAAAACATTAAATAGATAAATGGTATATTCATTGGATAGGATACATTTGGATATGTATGTATTAATAAATGACATTTTGTGTTGATGTTTAAAGTCTTAGACCTAAGCTAAGAGGTTGACTTGAGATCAGTGCTGGTTATTGATCAGATGTCATGATTACTGTTAGTGACAGAGTGAGTGAGTGATTGAGAGAGGGTGGTTTTACGCCGCTTTTAGCAATATTCCAGCAACATCACGGCAGCGGACACCAGAAATGGGCTTATTTTGTACCCATGTGTGGAACCGAACCCGGGCCTTCGGCGTGACGAGCGAACGCTCTAACCACTAGGCTACCCCCAACGCCCCTGTTAGTGACAGAAAGGAAGGGCACATGTGAGTATGGCCTTCTAGATTAAATACGCCGCTGCAAAAGTTGAAGAGACACACGACAGTTAGATTAAGTAATTTTTGTAAACTATTTGCACAAATGTTTTAGCTCTCAAACGTAATTCAGCGTATTCACTTATCATAAGGTAAATGGGGGTGCTAAGATGTTGGTTGCAGAACAGGAAGAACAATCCCAGCTGATGTGGGAGTCCAATCACCTGGGGCCTCATAGGGTTTGAACTATATCGGTTAAACCATACCATCGTGATCGGACCATTTTCCGCCCCCTTCAAATACACCAAAATCACTGTGCCGAACTTTAATGTATCTACAGTCCTTTGCACCAGCCATTTGTTTAATCTATCATAAAACGTCAGATTTCAGATCCTGTTGGATACAGAGGTTTCAGGACCATGCATCTTATTTATGTTTTGTGCACTTATCCCTATTTCGAGTTATTTAATCATTCATCGTTCTCATTTGAGTGAGTGAGTGAGTTTAGTTTTACGCCGCTTTTAGCAATATTCCAGCAATATCACGGCAGGGGACACCAGAAATGGGCTTCACACATTGTACCCTTGGGGAATCGAACCCGGGTCTTCGGCGTGACGAGCGAACGCTTTAACCACTAGGCTACCCCACCACGCCCGTTCTCACTTGAACCCAAACGAGTGTCACTTACTTTAAGTAAAACCCTGGTATTTCGCATTCCTATATTTTCCGATTGTGTTGAACCGTGCACAACTCAAAGTGTATTTAGGTAGTCCCTTCAACATCCACACAAGGTTGTGTGCCTGTAAATTGAATGTTGTTGTATGGTATTGAACCAACAGACGAGGAAAACACACCTGGGAGTAGTGGCAGCTGCCAGTGTTCATGCAGGAAGCCCCGTTGTAGTTGAACTGACCCACTTCATCCCACCACCCTTGGAAGCCGTTCACCACGATGTCCTCCTCCGGCTTCTGAGACATCTCCATGTAGAGGTTCTCACCAAACTCCCCTGCGGAGGTGTGCTTGAACTGACAACCATCGGCCCATGCTTTCGCCTTCCTGGCAAGACGCTCATCCCATGTCTGAAGGCATGAACAACTGGTATTTATTTATTTTGTGCATTTATTGCTACACGAAACTAGGAAACGAATGTCATTAACACTATTTAGAAGCATTATGAATTGTTAAGAATTTTCAATATTTTTCGTGGAAACATGATGTTAACATAACTCAGAAATTCAAAACAGGCATAACTGCATCTTGTAAAATGGTAAAGGTTGGATCATGACACTTTAAATGAGTAGATGCAGTGAGTATGGCTTTCAGCAATATTCCGGCAATATTATGGTAGGGGACACCAGAACTGGACTTCACACATCCGAGGAATCGAATCAGGAACTTTGGCGTGACGAGCGAACGTGTTAACTCCTAGCGTACCCATAGCATGTTCGTGAAACAGTGAACGCCAAAATCAGGGAGGAACGCCAAGGCACCAATCCACGAGCACTGGGTGCCACCCGTTCCCCCCTCGCCCCTGGGGGAGGATGTATCTTCAGAAAGATGAAATTATGACATACTGCAACCTGACATAACGCCCCTTTACAAACATATCAAAGTTTTCCCATCATTACCATATTAAAGTCATGTTTGAGAAATGACACCTGTACATAGGGTCTCTACACTGGAATGGTAAATAGGTTTTACCAAATCGGGAATTCCGCCTGCCCTTGGTTGCCCGGAAACACGGCCGTCGTTGAGTAGATGTCGTCCTTGGTTGTGTATCCTCAGTAAGAGGTTCTGTAAGTTTGATTTCATGACCCCACCCTGACAAGCCACGGTCAGCACCGTGAGGACAGCCACACCCAGGAAGTTCATCTAGGAGGGAATAAAAACACCACGTAACGAAACACGATGGCAAGTTTGCAGTTTGATCAGGGATAAATCATGCAACTCTTTAGTAGAGCTTTCAAAACGTCATATGGCAAACATATGCATTTACAAATTACAAAGCATCAGGGACCCAAATGATGTCTGATGCTTTCCCCTATTTTGACTTGCATCATGTCTGCCCGTGTTTTCTAGCTGACTTGCACGTGTTTAGGATTAGTGCCACGGGACGGGTAGGATACACTCACTTTTTTGAGAACACATGGTAACATCACAGACCTATGACTAAGTCAGAATGGTATGGTGGACATATATTTAGTATTTGACGCTTACATAAAAGAGATAAATCAAAACAAAAGAAAGCAAATATTTCATTGTTTTTTTAATTCTTTTACTTCTCCCAACCCTTGTAAAACATATGCCATTTTTCTTAACGTGTTTCTTTTCGGCAAGTAACGTTCCGGAAACACCCATGAAACATCTGACAAATATGACATGTACATGGAATATGTACATAAACACAATGTTTCCGCATTCATGCCATTGACTAGACTGCTTCAGTGGGGCTGTCTTCTTAGCGAAGGTCTGCGGTTCGAATCCAATTCAAGGTCACTTTATTCCAATAAAAGCGACAAACCCTTTTCAACATCTATAAGATATCTGCCCAAGGCAGATTGTACGATTCCGACTATATCCTGAGCATGTGTATATCAGTGTCAAATGGTGATGTTACTCGTCACATACAATTGCAAAGGCCTTTCCATTGTTCGACTGGAAAAAAACACCGGCACAGGAACATATGGTCAGATTAGGTGGCTGAGGGTGTGGGTTCGAATCCCGGAGTGGACTCAACCAAATAGGTACTAGAATTTGTGCTTTATTAAGAAAGTGTAATCCCAAATATAACATGTGTAACAAACACACACTCATCAAGCAACAAAGACAATTGTCAAGCAACACACAATCGCCAAGCAGCAAACACACAATCATCAAGGAACAAACACACGTGTTTAGCGACAAACAATCGTTAAGCGACAAACACACAATCATCAAGCAACAAACACAATCGTCAAGCAACAAACACAATTGTTAAGCCACAAACACAATTGTTAAGCCACAAACACAATTGTCAAGCAACAAACACACAATCATCAAGTGACAAACAGTCGTCAAGCGACAAACATACAATCTTCAAACGACAAACACAATCGTCAAGTCACAATTACATATCGTGTAAGTGGCCGATGGTTCCTGAGGTCAACATGTATGCTTTAAGTGATTCTTTCATAACATTATCACTGTATTATGTGTTTCCGCCCCGTGGAATATGTTTCGTAAAATAATCGAGACTGACTTTCTCTGGCGTTTGTTTTAATTTACTCAAAAAAGATACGATGTACTGTTTTCATCAAACATTTCAGTTTATGATGGTTTCAACATTCATTATATAGAGCACCATTTCGTTAAGGTCATAATCACATTGCATGAAAACATTCGCTGATTCCCGATGCAGATTCTTCATCTTCCGTTCAAACGGGCACTTTCTACAATAAGCAAATATTACAAGGAAATGGAAAAGGAGTATTACTTTCTCTTGATCTGGCTGATATATCATCTAAATATACGCAGGAACTACTAACTTTGTTTCACAGATATGATATACATAAGTTCTAAACAAGGGCATCTTTGAATAAATTTAAATAGCTGTCCAAATCAACAATGAATATACTTTGAAACATATACCGTTACGATGTTTGATCATCATTCCATGTTAAACTGTAAACTTCGAAGCCTTACAGTCCTCAAATAAACTGGTTTCTGATTGTCAATTATAGCCAGTTTCTTGCTGGTATTCAATGTAAAGAGAGATACAAAGATCGGTTTGACTATTGCAGGATTTGGCGTTAATGTATCCTCTAAGTTGTGCAATACTGAAACTAAACGTTTTAAGCCTACCGACAGTTTTTCACAAGTCTTGGAGTGGCATTCTAGAAGTTGGGTGGATGAAGAATAAGGACTATTTTAATGGATATACAACTTCTTTATTCTATATAGGCGACGTTTCTACACAGATTCTAATGTCGATTCTTGTCGAAACGGCGCCTATATAGAATAAAGAAGTTGTATATCCATAAAAATAGTCCTCATTCTGCAGTTTTTCAAAAGTGTTAAATTTGCTGCTGTCACGATAAGGCGATCATGCCAGTGAGATTTTTCATTTTAACTCAATATTAGAGGAATGGGTTTACATATTTCAAACATGAGGAGAATCGAACCAGGGTTTGAGGTGTAACGAGCAAACCCCGTAACCACTGTCCCAATCAGAAGGAAATACTCCCTTACCTTTATGACAGTCGTTTCTACGGGAGCAGCACTGACAGCAATGTGGAGATACATGTAGTCGCTATTTAAACACACTGCTTAATTGATTAATTAGAAACAATTGTCTTCTAAACATGCAACGATTGCCCAATGCAGAGATAACAGCTGTTATAATGCGTGCAATTATAACCATCTAGTGGCATTGCGGACACCACAGAGCAGAAGTTGAGACAGCGCGTTGTCCATAATGAGCATATGGAATGTGTGAGAGGGGGGATATAGGAATATCTGCATAATAATTTAACGACTATAGCGTTAGCAAGGTAACACTGGCTGAGGAGTGAGTGAGTGAGTGGGTGAGTGAGTTTGGTTTTACGCCGCTTTTAGCAATATTCCAGCAATATCACGGCGGGGGACCCCAGAAATGAGCTTCAAACATTGTACCCATGTCGGGATTCGAACCCGGGTCTTCGGCGTGACGAGCGAACGCTTTAACCACTAGGCTACCCCACCGCCCCCTGGCTGAGGAAACAGTGAAGTTTAGTTAACTGTTACAATGTAGGTGTGTGATATGAAAGTACTTTATCACAATTATGAATATCGGAAATGTTTGTAGTTTAGCCGCACTCTTCTCTATTCCCAGGTGGTGGGGTAACCTACTGATTAAAACGTTCGCTCGTCGCACCGTAGACCCAGGTTCGATTCCCGCTTTGTAGAATGTTTGAAGCACTTTTCTTCTGTTCGCCTTCATGATTTTTGTGGAATATTGCAAAAAGCGGTGTAAAACTAAACTCACTCACTCTTCTATATTCCAGCTTTACCACGTCAGTCTGTAAATAATCGTGTCTGGACCAGACACTCCAGTGATTGACATAATGAAAATCCATTTACGAAAATGGCATTTTGTAAATGATGTAGGATATATTTAGCGGTATATGTTTATTGTTTTCATCATAAAGTCGACTTGAGTCATATTCCACACGGCGCTCTTAGATTACGACTGCTGAGTCATACGTTGTTAACGTAAGTGACTTACTCCATGAACAAGTCAACCCTTTGTGAGTCGAGGCCCAGGACGTTGACATCAACATTAACATCCATGCATGGAAAATTACTCGCAAATTATATATTATCCACAACTGGTCGCGTTAACCACAGGATTAAACCACAGCTCTTCACAGAGATATAGCTGAATAGTGTACACTTATAGTTGCTTGGGCATCTAGACGAGAGTTTTGGAGAGTTCCTGTTGTAATTTGCGGTGGCCCAAAATGTTGATGTTTGTGACGAACGGCGCCCTGTTATTTCGCTTTATGATTCCGTGAAGGGTGTTTAGAATGTATTGACACACAGCTGATTATCGGTTATGTTAATGACACGGGACACATATCTCTTTAACGTACGTTACAGCGACAACTATATAAATACATAGTGTATATATATTTGTCTGAATCTAGCCCTTCGTCTTAGGTGCATACTGTTGCCCTAGGATATGTTTCCGTGTAGGGTGTTTAGAATGTATTGACATACAGCTGATTATCGGTTATGTTAACGACACGGGACACATATCTCTTTAACGTACGTTACAGCGACAACTATATAACTACATAGTGTATATATATTTGTCTGAATCTAGCCCTTCGTCTTAGGTGCATACTGTTGTCCCAGGATATGTTTCCGTGTAGGGTGTTTAGAATGTATTGACATACAGCTGATTATCGGTTATGTTAACGACACGGGACACATATCTCTTTAACGTACGTTACAGCGACAACTATATAACTACATAGTGTATATATATTTGTCTGAATCTAGCCCTTCGTCTTAGGTGCATACTGTTGCCCTAGGATATGTTTCCATGTATAGAGGATGTGTCGATTTCTTTTCCCTATCATTGAACTGACTGACGAGAGTTTGTCGTCTTTATTTACAGAGGAACCCAATGCATGGTGTGTGTTATTTCTTGTTGTTTGTTGTAGTGTATGTGTGTAGTTTAATGATTTCCTTCCACGTTTCAATGTTTAATTAATATGTGTCTTCAGAAACCTAGACAACAGTGTAACCAACAGTATTGCCTTGGTAAGATACAGAATGTGATGCAGTGAGAGGCGGAGGGCTAGGATTCGATTTCCACATAGGTACAATGTGTGAAGCCAACTTCTGGTGTCCCCCGTCGTGATATTGCTCGAATATTGCTAAAAGCGGCGTAAAACCATCCTCACTCACTTGAACTAGAACACTAGAAATGAGAATAAGTCCCTTCGGCAGTGTGTCGGCAATACACTACATTATTTCGCTACAGTATCGCACGCTAAAACAATTCGACAATTTAAAGGTTTCACATGGACACTTCATTTGTCGAATGTTGAGTGAGTGAGTGACTTTGGTTCAACGCCGCTATGAACACTATATTCCTGTTACATCAGCATGGTGTAGAAGGAAAGGGATGCAGGTATTAGACATTTACCTCTTTGATGCCACCCATGATCACAGGTACTGTGATGACAAAACTAGAAACATTATCGGAGCGAACTGGGATTCGAACCAATTATTGGACAGTCAGTGGTTCACCAAGGGATGCAACTCTGTACGGGCGCCAAACGTGCCCCAGAGTACGTGAATGAGTTTGGTTTGAAAATGGTTCCATCATATGAGCTTGGTGTGAGAGATACCTGGACTGGAAGGAGTCGTATCACGCCTGCAGATTCACGGCGGCAGGAGGGATGTTAGCAACTAACTAGCTACAACTAAACTGACCTCGGCACGAACTAAACTGACCACACCACAAAACCATTTCAAACCTGGTTAAGATAACATAAAACAGAGTCGGCATTGGTTGTGTTTGCTACTTTTGCAATCACTTTGCTTTATTTAAACACCTCGAACAGGCCGCATCCGGTCGAAAGTCGTCCATTATTATCCATCCTATGAAGCCTCTATTTCGCTGTGAATCAAACAAACAAACATTAAACGATAGCCAACACCACGCACGCACGCACGCACACACACATTAAATTAGAATTAAACATGATGTGGATGCAGTATTTTTTGCTGTGCCGAATGTTTTTCCTTTTGGACGAACGACAACTACAGGTATTTAACGAGGCAAGTATTCAACCACCTTGTATAGTCAAGAGGTTTTCCAGATTTCAACACGCCTTTCGCCTACCAGTAAAATATATATGTGTTTATCACAAATCTACTTCAGTAAAGGCATCCCGATTGTTGAATTTGAAAATGTTGGCATTTACCTGGTTCGTAAGCTTCCTCTCCGATCCAATTACCCCTGGAACATGAAGTAACATACATAATTTCTTAGACGGGATATACTGCTGCGATGTAATGTATCATTGAAAGGTCCTGGAATTGAAATAAACCAAAGACATGAAATTAAAGGAACTAACAATTTGAATGTCGCTATCGTTGAGGAGAACGTTTACGATATCATGGCGTTGCATCTGACGCAACATCTAATCACAATGGCATTTCACATCTCACATTATCAGTACGTATTACACATGCAGAAAAGAAGTGTGTGTCTTCTAGCCAGTTGAGCTAAGCACACGCTTAATAATGCTTCCGAGTGAGTGAGTATGGTTCTTTGCCGCATTCAACAACATTCCAACTGTGGCATGGGGTGGGGTTGGGAGTCTCAATTAGAGGCAAACCATAGATGGACAACAAGGGGATGGTTTCGGCAATACCAGGACGGGTTTTTCGGTAATGGCCGAAGCAGAGGCGAGTGGTATGCCACGGCAACCATTCTTGACCATAATCGGTATGGAGGCGGTTGTGTCATTCATAACTGGCCAACTGATTTGGTTATTTTGGATAGACGTCTGATTGGCCAGCGATATTTTGCGTTGTTCCAGTCCTTAGAATTATTGTCAGAACTTTTAAACAGCAAGATGACAATGCCAGACCACATCGTGACAAGGTCGTCACCGAATATTATATCTCCAACGAGACAGCAAACGGACATTAGACTGTCCCGCTAAGTCCCCACTGACATATCCCAGTAGAGCCTCGGACGGGGGACCAGAGACCAAGCAGGAACCAGCTGTAGTGGCTCAGCTTGGGGCAGCTGTTCATGCGGAATGGAGGTCTTCACCAAACGCAATCATCCGTAAGCTAACGAACAGTGTGCCATCAAAAAACTTGTTAGGACATTTTTCGCCATTCCACCTTCGAAATTATTTCATCATTTCCCTTCTGAGGGTAGTATATGAATTCAGATTATCAAAAATGGACCATCGTTAATGAAAAAATAATGATACTAGAATAACACTTTCTGTAGGCTGTGGCGTTACACTCACTATTTTGTCGTGTCATGGTCGCTGCTTGCAAAACACAAACACTGGAATGTTTGGGCCGTAAATGACCACACACAGGCATTCAGGCCAAGTACTTACTTGGGATCGTAGTAACACACCAGGAACCATACGTCATTGAAACCTCGGAACTGAGGGATTTGGGGGCAGTTCTTCAAAGCACAGCCAAGTTCCTCAGTCTCCTCCCAGATAACCTGGATGATAAATCCAATATTTTGAAGATGCACCGATAAGAATATCATAAATAATACCGACAAAACCATTTTCATTTCACAGGAATCTTGAGCATTTTGTTTTCAAATGACCATCAAGTAGTGATGATGCCAGGTGTAAGCAAAAAGGTGTGCATATCTTGCCACTGCGATGGTATCCGGCATGAAGACATGCAAAGGCAAGGCAATGTTTCACTTGAGAAAAATCCACAGACGTTCATACAGCCAATCTAATTAAGGGTTTTACCTGGACGGTTGGGTCCAATTTGGCAATATCCGCCATATTTCTATTCTTAAGCTTTTCAAACGTTCATCAAACAACATGTGAGCAAGAGTGGTATGACGCTCTTTGAACTCATCATGCAAAGAGCATGCGCCCTCGTACATCAAGAGTTGTGACATCAAGGCCCTAAAGCTGGGAAGCAGCATAAAGGGAATCATGACAATTGAAATATTGAACTCATCCCTCTTGTTAATGTCTTGTGGAAACACTTTTGTCGCCCTACATCTAAATTCGAATGCGAAATTGCTTCGAAACCCGTATCTTCTATAAATTTAGTATGGCGGTGTTCGTCTGACTAGGAGATGCGCGTCCTGGTTGAGAAGAAGCGGAATTGTGTTGTTCCACGTCGCACTGAGCTCCATCCACGGCGGCCAAGTAAGTATTGGAACACGTGTCAGGCAGATAATGAATTTTATGCATTACCCACTGGGTCACGATTACAGGTAATCATCCAGACAACACTTTGTTACCATTTGTGACTCATTAGCCGGCGCTGATCACAAGCTCGGCATACTGGGGTACTGGTAGAAAACAGAGCAACAGGGAGACGGTTAAGGAAAGCCACGTGAACTATGAAGGCGCTTGATTTTGCTACAAGGTGATCAAAAGGAAAGCGACTTCCACTTTGAAGGCAACTGATCTCGTAAATAGGTGAAACAAGTTAATTAGCACGCATTTTATTGCAATAGTTAATTCATTTTCGTCAGATTTGCATTAGAAAACCGTGGCGGGAAGTAGATGACAAAACATTGAATTATTATACATTTGACAAAGATTCAATTCTTGCTTTCTATCAAAACGATATATATGTTATCTTTGAGGGTCTATTGTATGAAACCAATGTTTCTTGTACACCGTCCGACATATATATTTTCAGGAACTGCTATTCGAAGTTTCTCGAGAATTTATACAGATCCAACGTACATGTATTCGCCATGTTGCAACTGAAACTGATCACGTAAATATACTGATTACTGTAAACTGATGACTACGACGATCTAGAAAGACTTTGTACTCAGTCATGTGATGCTGTTTCACGCGTATTAATGTCAACATGTGTATGTCTCTTATTCGCAGAACAAAAACCCCCAAAGTATTCGATATAACATATATAAACCACAACAGAATGTTCTGAAAACAATCTCAAGAATATAAAATTAGACATCTTTGGAAAACCTATGCGATTGACATGTACACCTTCAGCCATCAAATATGCAGAAAGGGATTCTAAGTACAAACAATAAATTAATATGGAATCTGTTGAGCATGATTACCACCAAGTGCAGTCCCCATCGGTAATGTAAGATGAGTGTATATAGTTTCCACAAAATATGAAACGTAAGAAGGAACCTTGGATTCCCAGCTATACCTGTGAGTAATGGCAACTCTGGGTAGGATTGCATTCCTTGTCACTGAAGCGGAATGTGTCAACCTCGTTCCACCAAGCATGGAAACCTCTACTGATGACCTCTGCCTCCGATCGGGACGACTTCTCAATGTAGAGGTTCTCGCCGAACTTTGGTCTTGATGAGTGCTTGAACTGACATGTGTTTGCATGTGTCTGGGCTTTTCTTGCTAATTCTTCGTTCCATCTCTGCAACAAACAGTATTTAAGCATAAGGAGATTTTGATTTATCCACGAGACAGTGCCGATATGCTCAAATACTTACTAGACTTGGGCCTACATTTCGTACAACAAATATACATATGATTTTGACTTGAAATATAGCATTGCGACACGAATGCTAAGGAGTAATATGTTCTTGTCTAACAAAACAAGAACTGATATTTTGTTAGATAACATGTCTCCAAATGATGTTTTATGCAGGAAAAAAGTATTAATAAGCAGTTCTTCTAATCCAATATAAACCTTCATATCCATTTTAGTAAGTTCCTTTCGAGATGTTTCCAAAGTGCAAAGCCATAACTTCTCGCCCGCACGCACGTACATACCTACATCTTGAAAGCGACCCTAGTCTTCATGTCACATATTCAAATGATTCAATGCCCCAGAGCTGCAAATTGTTGACGGATTCGTAAAGGGACAAGTGATAATGGTTAAAAAAATACATATCCTTAATCCATGTATAGTAATGTCGTATAAGGGGACAGTAGTTTCAACTACTCACGAGAAAGGGAATGTGTTCCGCTCCAGGTTCGTAAGGGACCTCACCCTCGTTCAGCATCTGGCGTCCCTCGTTGTGTAGTTGAAGGATGATGTTCTGATTTTGTGGCGTCATTACATTCGCCATGGAGACGCCCAAGACGCCCAGAAAAACTACAGTCCACATCATTGTGATATTGGAAGATCTGTCAACGTCATGAAATCAGATTTCTTAACTTTGTTTCTGTTTTGCAGTCGAATAAATGATTTAATCCTTCAGATATCAATATTTTAGCTCGGACTAACCGAAATTGAAACGATCGATGCTGGCCTGGAAGAACAACTGGTTGGTATTATTGGCATCAACTCACACCGTTGGCGTACGATACCACACAATTACCAAACATTTGTCAACGTCATGAAATCAGATTTCTTTACTTTGACAGTTATATTACAGTTAGTCTATCATACATACTCTGAAACAAATATATCCAATGCAGCCATTGCTAGAATGTGTGACAAGTCTATATTACCACAGTTTCAGCGGTTTATTTTATTTTATTTTGAATTAAAACTTAACTGTAAAATATGTTCATGTCAGAAACTAGGTGTTAGTCTATATTACAGTCGAAAGAATCCATTGACAAATTTCAATAAATCATCTTACACTATTAATTTTATCAATGGTAGTCATCTTTGAATTTGTAAGAACCCTAAACAAACACTTGTCACACCATCTGACTGCGGTCTGTAAATGATCGAATCTTGTCCAGGAATGCTGTGATTGATTTCATGACATTAACGGAATTATATATAACTATTTACGGAATTCCAGAATAGAAACTGATGCCGCATGTGCATTTAATGAACACTTCGTACACGAATCTACAGTAGAGAACCCTTCACAAGCCTTACCTCCATTACCTCAACGAATACAATTCAAATTTAACGAAATTATGTTAACTCCTAACGAGATTCTAGATATGTTAAAGTCTGTTAATACATCCAAAGCATCGGGCCCAGCTACGGCTACCATATTCCCCTTACAAAAATCTTTGATTTATCATTACAGAAATCGGTATTTCCTCCAGTCTGGAAACATGCATAGGTTACTCCCCCTTGTTTTTAAATATGCCTACAATAATCTTAGAGATAACAATTTCATTACTACTTTTCAGTCAGTATTCAACACTTCTTCACCTGCCCATTGTATAATGAAATTTTATCAACATGGATACGACATACCTTCGGTATTATATGTTAATTTTAATGTAGACTCTGAAACTAACAAAAAGTTGATCTCCTCTTTTCACCATTTCACCAGTTTTCAAAAAAGATTTAACATGACTTAAGAAATTATTCATAAAGCTCAACAATTACTTTATTGGCAATTGATTTGTAAATAGCTTTCGCAAATATGTTCATGATCGGGAGAGGCATATATATAAGCCCAATGAGCTTGTTTGCCAATCCCCTTTTCTTTCTCTTGATATAAAATACGTTTAAACATATAACAAGTATTCACGGAATTCCAGAATATAGTTACATTTATTCTACTTTATATTCATTGACAGCTTAGGTTGTATCAGTTGATTACTCATTTTTATAAAAGTGGATATGCACGAATATTGTTAATTCAATAACAATTCCAACGTTACTGTCGATTTATATGAGAAATTACTTATTTCATTTTGAAACGAAAAATAACTGTTAGATAAAAGGTAAAATTTATTCTGTCCAGAATACCAGTCAACCATCACAATCGGGTTCTCCAGTTGACATCGTGTTATCACGTGAGAAAAATGACACCTGGTATCTGCCTTTACGATTATCAGGCTCCTTTACATAAATTGTAGGAACAATTACCAATGGATAGGCATGGACACGAGCAGGCTTAAGGCTTTTGAACCTACAGACTATTTATCATGCATACACACATACTATTGCAAACCTTTTTTACTTTTGTATGTTCTATCTGACGTGAAACGGTAACAAAGATGTTGAATATGAAACTAGCCACGAAAACATCAGTGAATGAGTGAGTTGAGTTTTACGCCGCACTCAGCAATATTCCAGCTATATGGCGGCCGTCTGTACTTAATCGAGTCTGGACCAGACAATCCAGTGATCTACAACATTAGCATCGATCTGTGCAATTGGGAACCGATGACATGAGTCAACTAAGTCGGCGAGCCTGACCACCCGATCCCGTTAGTCGCCTCTTACGACAAGCATGGGTTACTGAAGATCAATATTCTAACCCGTATCTTCACGGGGTCACGAAAACATGAAGATACACTGTTATCACTATGTACCGTTCCACATTCATAAGAAATATCTGCTAAAAGCATTTAATTATACAATGTTGTTTATGTGCTTATAACTTATCTTTTCAGCTATTCATGCAATGTAGCTGGGAATATTTTATGGAAAGACCACGAAAATTCAAACTCTTACTTACAATTTCATCTTGAAAACAAAATGCGTGTATGCTATTTTGTGTGTGTAAAGCAAAAGGAATTGAGGAATAAAACTACACAACATTTTACACATTTTCTATCATAAGAATTCTAGAGTTATATAACATATAATTCTTAATCTCCCCAAACAGTATATACTGAGGTATTCTGACGTTACCTGTAATACAAATATATCTTCATGATATAGTCACATCTGTACAATCAATCTCTGTTTGTAGCAGAGATTTCTTATAAATGTTGAAATGTTGTTTTTTTGTATCTATTTCTATGAATGTACTGTAGTAAATTTTAATCAACGTTTTGAACGACTGCGAGAAAATGAAAAGAAGAGAAGCGTTTATCGAATAAACAGCCATTCCTACTTTATCTTCAACAAACAAAATAATACATTTGTGTGAACAGAAGGAAAATAAAACGTAGTCATTCAGTTAACAAGGTTGAAGCTATCAGTGTTGGTTGTCTGGGTCTGTCGACTTATACATGCCACAAAAAGGAAACTTACATAGGAAATCAAACTATATATTGGAACTGTATGTCTACTTAAATACAGATGTAAACAGTAATTGGTGAATTGAATAGAATATTGAACATGCCGCTCTGCCCCCTTCTTTTGATCTCACTTCCTCCTATTAAGGTTCCAATGGAAACTTTTCGGTGTTATATTTTCACATTTAAAGAGATCTTTAACAATGCGCATTTTCTTTATGTGGCTTATATTTTTCTTTGAATATAGGAATTTAATGTTTTCCTCACAATCGAAAAATATGTCTATTAGTTATTGTATAAAAATCCTCAAAACATTTCAGTTTGTATTTAAGGAAATGTTCAATCTTTGATAAGTTCTCTCCTCTAGTAACGTTTAAATGGTCAAACAAAGTATTATTTCATAGTATGGAATTCGTTAAAAATATCAAATTTGTATTTAGAGAAATAGTCAAGCTTGTTATCTTTCCCGTCGCCATGCCTAAATTGTACATTGGTAAACACGGAAACTACTGGAATTAACATTTCGGGAGATTGTTGTCTTTCTTGTGATTAGATCTCTTGGCCGTCACACATAAATTATCATTTATGACCGTATAGCAAATATAATGCATATGAAAACAGAATAAACAATAACATACCCAACATTGAAAACAATGAGATATTGCATTCAGTCATTGTTTTCTGAATAAATAGAACTCTGGAATGATTTGCCCGTGTAAATAAGTGAATCCAGTACTCTTAGCTCACATTTGTACTTTTGTTGTAGTTGAAGGAAGTTCAGTCAAATGCTTATAAAATCACGCCAAGGTATATCATGTTTTTATAGACAGGACTGCCTCTGTAGATCTCCAGGTGAAACTATTTATCACCATGTAAGGGAATTTCCATTATACCAAATTGCACAAATGAAATTTGTGAAAAGGGTTGTTACTGATAAGTCAGTATTGCAAAATGGGAGCTCCCATCTCGGAAATGCACGATTGTGTCAAACCAGATTGATCTAAAAATGATTTAAATATATCTAAAATAGATAACTTTCCTACTCCTCCTTCTGTACACATTTCAATTGTTATGTTAAATAGTGCTAATGATGTTCACGTTTTGTGAGATGGCTAAGAGTTTGTGCCGAGTCCAAATGTACAATGTCAAAATGAAAGTCGGACATCACACATGTTCTTACCTCAAGGGAGCTGATTCCACTGTTCGAAGACTTGGGTGGGCCTGCCTATTGAAGCACTTCTTATGTAATTGTACCATTAATGAAAATGTATTCATGTCCGTTAACTATACAGATATTACTGATAAACACTTGATCCTATTATAACATGCTTTGATATTTTGGGTGCTGATTATTATAATATTACGTATTAGGCATACATGTATGTACATCAGAGAATATAACGGGCAATCAGGTTCTGTGTTTATCATTTCTTTGGGGGTAGCGGGGCCAAAATCCAATTACTATGCTGGATATGAAACACTGTTTTATTTAATGTTTGTTTGTTGCAAGAAACCTTTATTTGAACACCCTTCGATTTTTGTATTCCTACAATGTCAGTGTCCCAATCAATGCCAACGTATCCCATAATTGATCTACAAAATGGCTGATTGAGTAAAAAGTATTTCACACAATTGCAGAGGCATTAACGATAAGAATAAACGTACAGATTTGTTTACCTTCCTAAAACGAAAACGAGCACAGGTATATTGTTTACAGGACGTACACTTTACTAAAGATAATGAAACAATGTATTCGAGAAGAATGGGACAATAAAAAATGTTACTTTAGTCCATTCAAAAGTAAATCAAGGGAGGTAGCTATTTTTGGGTCAAAGTATATCCATCACCTTTGAAGTATTGAACTACAGCGAGGGAAAGGGATCTGGAAATTTAATAACTCTCTTTTAAAGGATCCAGATTATGTGCAGTAAGTTTAAAGAGCCATAAAGGAAACTATTGATCAATACGCATGTGAATGTAATGTTAGCATAAATGACTAACCTTTATTTGAAATGATAACGTTGAGTATCAGAGGTAAAACAATTGAGTACTCTGCTAACAAGAAAAGAGAAAGTGAAAAAACAGGAAAAAGAAATATAAACTAAATTAGAGAATACCAGTCAAGATTAAGACAATGAAAATGATATAACTAATATTCTTACTAATATAATTAAGCTGGAAAAACAACTTGAATATATTGTAAGATTAGGAACACAAGAATTTATTGTTAGGTCAAAAGCAGATTGGTTGGAACATGGGGAGAAACCAACAAACTATTTTTTTGTTTAGAATCTAGAAACTATTAGAATAAGTCAAGTAGGCGGCGAGAAGATAACATGGTAATATTTTGGGGAACAAGATGAAATTATGGAAGTAGTAAATGCATTCTACAGGAAGTTATATTCAAAACAAGACGTGTCCACCATAAACTTAAATACATTACTTGATAGGTTTAACGTTCCTAAACTATCCCAGGATATTTCTCAGATATTAGAGAGCGAACTTGTCTGTGATTAGGTACAAGAAGCTGTAAAGCATCTTAAAAATGGTAAAAGCCCGTTATCTGACGGATTTACTGCCGAGTTCGTTAAGTTCTTTTGGGATGACATTGGAAAATACTTGATTAAATATCTCAGCTTTGCATACACAAGTATCAATATCGCAAAGAAGTTGCCTCTTAACTTGATTCCAAAGTAAAACAAACCAAAACAAGGTTTGAAAATATGGGGCCCAATTTCTCTTCTATTAATCTTATATAAAATTGCCTCCATTGCCATTTCCCATAGAATTAAAAACGCATTTGAATCGCTTATACACGAAGACAAGAAAGGATTTATGTTTGGCCGATACATCGGAGAAACAACCAGGCAGATATGATATGATTCAACACACGGAAGATCATCAGATCCCTGGTCCATTACTTATAGTAGACTTTAAAAAAAGCATTCGGTACAGTTGATTGGAATTATATTGAAAACAAACCCACTGTCTTTTATCGGTTTTGTGGACTCAATAAGAAGATTGGATAAATAGTTTCTATAAAGGAAAAGAATCATGCATTCCAGTAAAGGGTTTTGGATCAAACTTCTTTTACATAACCAGAGGATGTCGTCTGAGAGATTCATTATCTCCTTACTTATTTCTCCTTTGTGTAGAAATCGTAACAATACAAAGACATAAAAGGTGTCCAAATTGGAAATATTGAATATCTTCTTTCTCTGTATGCAGATGACACTTCTTGTACATTCGATGGGTCTGAAAGATGCTTCTACGCAGTATTTCTAACTTTTTGCTCGTTTCCCTAGTATGAAAGTAAACATTGATAAGACAAGCGTATATGGATAGGTTCAAAGAAAAGATCAAAGTTGAAACTATGTCAAGAATGGAACTTGGATTGGAAACAGGAACCTTTTAAACTGCTTGGTATTAAGTTTTCTATGGATTTAAGTGACATATCGACATGAATTATGAAAGCAAACTTAGACAATGTGAAACATTAATGGCAATATGGTCAGCTCGTAACTTAACTCCATTAGGTAAAAACACCATTCTTAAGTCACTGATACTTCCAATACTTAATCATCTGTCTTCTTCACTTCCAAACGAAAGTGACATTGTTATTGACACATTTCAAAGGAAATGTTTAACTTCATTTGGAGTAATAAATCTGACAACATAAAACGATCTCCAACATAAATATTCCGTTTTACACAGTTCTAATACAAGGTTGGTTGTTGTTTATAGAGGGTTTGAACAAAACTAATTTAAATGATACTGATATATGTGAGTGAGCTGAGTTTAGTTTTACGCCGCACTCAGCAATATTCCAGCTACATGTATATGGCGGCGGTGTGTAAATAATCGAGTCTGGACCAGACAATCCAGTGATCAACAACATGAGCATCGATCTGCGCAATTGGGTACCGATGACATATGTGTCAACCAAGACTGCGGGCCTGACCACCCGATCCCCGATACTGATATTATGTCTCCATCAGTTTGGTTTAAAGATAACATACAAGTGTGATACTATAAAACAGTCTTTAAAGAAAACTTGTACAAAACAGGCGTAAGATACATAAACATTTATATTTACGAAGCGGGACAATTTTACTCATGTAGAGACTTTTGTAAGCAAAACTCCATTGTCATAAACTACTTAGGTTATTTAGGCATTATACAATCTATTAAACACTATTGTAGGAAACAAAAATTAGTAAATATGATCCTTTATTACCATTTTACGTTGCTCATTTACTGAAAACTCAGAAAGGTTAACAATATTTCTACAAAACATTGATAAAAAAAACAAAATACCAAAATTTCGCGAAATGGTAACAGATACTATCCCATGATATTAATGATAGAGGACGCACAAGCTATAATATATTAGTGTTTCAATGCACATAGTCTACCCAGTTTCAATGATTCCAGTATCAAATTCTTACCCACAAATTCTCGCCTTTATAAAGTGGGATATGTTGAAAGCGGTATATGTAGCTTTTGTTCTACAGAAAATGAATCTATATTCTTCGTCTTTTATTTTGGAAAGGAAGTATAAGCGTTAACAAACTTTTCAAAGACAGTACATCTTATGAACGCACCACCATTACCCTTGATCATCACCCCTAAACACAACGCATGGGATGCACGTGCACAACGCAGTAGCCCCATACACGTGTATGGGGTGTCATTCTCGATTTTCAAGAAGGTTAACAAATAACTGCATGTAGACCAGTAATTTTGACAATCACCTTGCATCTGTTGATCACACAGTGGTTAGTGTTTGTTTCTTGACGTTTTCTTTTTGAATTTGCAATGTGGCGTATGCAACATGATGAGCGTGAAGTGACCAATATCTTCAATGTATCGAAGTCACTCATTACCAGACTGGAACAGATATCAGCAAACCCCAAATGATGACAATCGACCTCGTTCAGGTCGTCCAATGTCAACAACAAGCGTACAGGATCGTTTTATTCAGAACCAGGCTTTAAGAAATCCAGCTGTAACGACCAATCAAATTGCAGCAATGTATCATACTCCTGGTGTTCGTGTTACGGGTCAGTCGATTAAGAATCCCCTCCATGCAGCTCACTTCATGCTCGAAATCCCCGGGTTGTTCCACCTTTGAATGATCCTCACATGGCTGTAAGAAGAGAATGGTATTTGAAACGTAGACAATGGAGGAATCGTCGTCCATGGTCACGAGTCATGTTTTCGGATGAGTCTAGATTCACTTTGGACTTCCTTGACATTGTGTTCGTGTCTAAGAAATGAACGCCACACCAACATCAACGTGAGACCACACGATCGATCTGGAGGTGGGTCACTTATGGTATGGGGTGGTGTCACTAAGACTGACCGAACCCGTCTCTATGCTGTGCAAGGAAGGGTCACAGGGCAGTACTACCGGGACAACATACTGACTCCATTTGTTGTCCCACTTGCAAGGCATTTCTGTCGTTATTTCGTCTTTCAGGATAATCACCCCTAGCAACATTTAACAAACATTTGAATATTGCTATATTTTCTTTAATATTTATAAATGGTAGTATGGAAGGAAATGCTGTTTTTGTTATGTTGTAGGGAAAAAATGCACTCTCATTACACGCTATTCAACTTTACACGACTCAGCAGAAGTAAAGACACTTCCGTGTTCAAGAGAGAAGTAGTGCGTACGAAACACGTATGACGTGGTCACATAAGCTCCGCCCACTCATGTTTATTTATGATTACTGTGCACTTAAGACCATTGTAGGTTTTAGGGCACAACAGACGTGTACGTCAACGTCAAAGGCCGCAGATTACGCTGGATGAACTTGGCCGAGCGCTTCAGGAAAAGTGGAGCAGACTCTCCCAATGGATCAATGGGAGACTGATACGCAGTATGCCTCATCGGTTGAATAAATCTCTGACCCTTCGTGGTGGAATCACACACTACTGATTGAAAATCGAGCAATATGAATCTTTTGTAAAACTGTAAAGTTTGGAACAGGTGAGTTTGTTTTATTGGTTTATTAGGTGGGTCAATCAGTGGAAACCGCTAGAAATATTTGGAAATTACACTGCACGATTTCATCCAACGACTTAAGACCATAGCTGCAAAGACCCACACCAAGTATGATAATATAATTGAGATATGAGCTGTTAATTACATTAATGTGATGGAATAATGACAGAATAATTGGGACAAAAATACTTAGTAATCCTGTCATTTTTACTTGTGTAACGGATTGGTGCTGTTGGGTGTTACACGGTGCATAATTGTGAAGCTAATATATGATTATACACTAGGAAGATGATTACCTATCATTCCAATCTCAAATACTGCCGACTAACACAATACATTTCATGGTTGTCTTCACCAAAGCTATATATGATCGATTTGAGCTCACATTATTAATCACCCGACTTCTATTTCATACCCGGGGGAACTGTTGATCCCGGGGTCCCAGGGACCGAACACCTCCCCCCTAGATGCCCTGTGTACTAATGATCCACTAATCGTGGCTGCGTTGGGATAGTCTAGTGGTTAAAGCGTTCGCTCGTAACGCCGAAGACCCAGGTTCGATTGCCGACATGAGTATAATGTGTGAAGCCTATTTCTGGTGTACTCCGCAATGATATTGCTGGAATGTAGCTAATAGCGGCTTAAAACTAAAAACTCATTCACTCACGCCACTAATCGTGGGTTCAAACGCCCAGTTTCCGAATATTTCCACAAGCACCATGCAACAGCTAATGTATCGACCAAGGCTGTTCCAAAATTTAGCTGATAAGCCGTAGTTTAGCACGGTTACACTGACATGGTGTTAAACCCAACGAACCAATTTAGGAACTGTTTCTATTTGATGCCATTTTCAGGTAATTGTACGTGTACTCATTGGATGGCAGTTCAGTGACGTCTTAGATTACAAGAAGAGCAGATTGGAGTAGAGAGATCGAATGTTAACCTGATGTAGCCTCGTAAGTAAACAGAGGCACTGTCATCATTATGCGAATGTTTCTTCCTAAATTCAAAATTGTTTCGAGAGAGAGATTATCACACCACAGCCATCTTTATTTAATCGAGGACAATGCACTTCAATAAACCTCAGAATTGCTAGTTTTAATCGTTTTGTGTTCATATGACTGCATCTCAATGTATTCAACTTTGTTAAACTTTCCCCCTTACGTCGAACCGTTTGTGTCTTTTTGAGGTACAATGGAGCATGTTCTTTCTACAAAGATTCCAGGGAGCGTCATGCGAGCCATGCTCAAAGTTGTTTAAGTCACGCCTTCAAAACATTTTTGTGTTTTCAGATTTTCAGATCAATGGCCATTTTTCGAAGACATTTCTCGAAGCCATGGTATCTAATGCTAATGTTGATATTGTTGTTACTTTAAACTACAGGGCGGTATAAAAATGTGTTGACCAAATGATGTGCAATTTATAATCGGTATGAGGCTCAGTTGGTCAAGAGAAGACTCTCTGAACGAGAAGAGCAGCCTCTTCTTGATGAGTGTCTTTAGCCTGCTTAAAGAGTGAAGGAAAAAGTTGTGTCAAAACGTAATCATGAGGTATGGATTATGTATGTATTAAATAAGACTGACGAACACCTTGGCAGTGAATGCACAGCAATACAAGAAGCACAGTATTTTACGCGATCCTTTCATGGTACGACCCAGTATATGTAAACGGTGTCATGGAAAATGATAATTTTAGGATACTTTAGAATAGTCCCATGTACAGCCTTAGACGTATTGAGGCCAACAAACCTGACGTTGCTGGAACATGAACCCGGGTAAGGCAGACAACAAAGTTCTTAGTGGGTTCGACTAATCAGCACTTTCTAAGTCCCATTCGCTCTCCAAATCCTCATTCGACACTTTTGAAAGAACTGTTAGGGGGTCATGAGAGGAAATTCTGATCTTTATCTTATGAAGATACATGGGCGCTTACTTGAAGATGTACAGGGGGCCCGGGTTCGATTACCCACATGGGTACAATGCGTGTCCCCTGCCGTGATATTGCTAGAATATAGATAAAAGTGGTGTAAAACCCAACTCACTCACTCACGCACGATGTACAGTAAACTACTGGTTATTTTCACGGTTATTGATTAGTGCTCCCTTTCAGCTCGCTATTATCGCAGTTTTCTGTATTTTCGTCTTGTACAAAAGGACAACAAATAAAGGGTACCACACCGTTTTATCATTACAAGTACATTGTACGGTTCCAATCATATGAGCATGCGAATTATGTAAATACACGGTAATGATGGTGGAAAGTGTTTTCAGTGGTAATGGACCCGTGAAGATCCGAGTTAGAATTGATCTTCAGCAAGTCGTGCTTGTCGTAAAAGGTGACTAACGGGATCGGGTGGTCAGGCTCGCTGACGTGGTTGACACATGTCATCGTATCCCAATTGCGTAGATCGATGCTCATGCTGTTGATCACTGGCTTGTTTGGACAGACACGATTATTTACAGACGGCCGCCATATAGCTGGAATACTGTTGAGCTGCAGCGTTAAACAGCACACCAACCATCAGTCCTAATTTATAAGTAATTAACGGTAATATGTTTGTCAGCTGGATTGCTTGACGCCTACTGCATTTTATGAAGTAATTTCTTTTCGGAAATATTTCGTATAGTTATGTACAAAAATATGTTGAGAAGCAATACATTAAACATTAGCATACATGAATACAGCTCTTCATCATACTGCATAATAGCATGGCATAGCATATTGGCATTGGCATACATACATAATTATAAAGCTGAGACAACATGAATTTAGTTGAGATAACACGCATTGACATTACAGCTGTCTCAGGTCAATAATTACATTTGGGTTTTGAATATCAGAACTTATAGAAAGTGGATATATACTGTATATATTGCCTCATTCCTCTCATATGAAAACAGAAGCGACAAAACCATTTCCACATCCACAACAAATCTCTGTTAAAAGAAGAGTCGATTGTACAATTGTGACTATATCTTGCGTATATACATTCTCTTCCCACAGAGGTTACTTGTCATATCTTCCTACGAACCTCTGTTCTAATACGGCCCTTTCATGGTGTGAGCGTTCAAGACTCGTGATTGGATGCAATCGGATTTAGTTGTGCAATCAGCGACGTTGTTTCAAAAGTGATCATTCGCAAGGCCTCGGTAATTTCCGTATGCTTCGAGAAAACTAAACTTCTTCCCCTGCGCGATGCGCAAATGTTTCTTCTAGACAGAACTCAGTCATGTTAAGGCGGATCAGTGGCGTCTCCATCGCCCTCGTTGACAACGGACAAGCTAGCCATTTAACGTCTTGTGTGTAACATCAACACAAGTCCCCGGCAGATGGGGGATATTTGTGGCCCCACATTTGCTTGTGTTAGTCAAGTTGAATCTAAGTCGATGTAACACGTGTTCTGATTGGATAGAAAGAAGGGAGATAATTCGTGTTGCGATCTTTTGCCGCTAGGAGATTTTACGAGAACCGGGAAATATGGCCGTATTAGAACAGAGGTTACGTAGGAAGATATGACAGGAGTAACCTCTGTGGGAAGAGAATGGCGTATATATAGTATGGCCAAAAAATAATTGAGAATTTTAGGAATATGTTTAATAGGATTTCTAGTACAAATAACCTTGACCAGCTATCAAGTGCTTGGTTTCATTCAAGAGAGACAACTCTGTTAATCCTTTTCACTAGTTTGTAAAGAGTTATCCCCCCTTTGTTTACTTACTAGCAGACGACATTTCCATGATCCTCAGTATTTATGATTTAGAGAAGAGGAAGTTGAGTTTAGAGTATTATAACAAGGACATCACATCAGCTAAAGTGATTTCAAGTAGAACAGGCATCCGTCTGTCCACTATTTATCTTGTTTTGAAAAATATTGCAAATGGATATGGCATTGAGCACCAGGGAGGCGCAGGTAGGCCCAGAAAATTGACTGTCGGTGACAGGAGGCGGCTTGGTATACTTGTTACTAAAAACAATTGAAGGAGTTTAGAAAACTTAAGGCTGGATATGATTGATAGAGGAACTGTGGCTGTCTGTAAGGAGACAATTAGAACTGAGCTGCATGCAATGGGTTGGCAGAAAAGTCGAGGAATTCCATCACCGATCATGAAACCTGAACAAAAGGAGCGAAGGTTGAACTGGTGCTTACAGCATAGAAATTTTAACTGGGACGATGTGATTTTCTCAGATGAAAGTTCTGTGTGGCTGTTTTCCAGCAGGACAACGACCCAAAACATCGTTCAAAGCATTCACAGGCCTGGTTTCGGACCCAAAATATGACATTATTAGATTGGCCAAGCTATAGCCCTGACCTAAATCCAATAGAAAATGTTTGGGGACTTATGAAGGAAAGTGTCAATAAGAAAAATCTGATAAATATTGCTAAAATGAAAGACGAGGTGGTCCGATATTAGGACAGCATGGACCACGACTTTCTAACTTCTTTGATCAGTAGTATGCCCCGCCGCATTGAAGCCTACATTGCTGCCCATGGTGACTTGACAAAATACTAACTGTTCACCAATCTGGAGTTATGTTCTGCTTATATTCACATTAATACGTGAGTAATGAGTGAAAAATATGAAATATGTGGCTTCGACACTTCACCTTATCGGCCAACATTGTTAGCTCCGTTTTCGTGTACTGCTAGTAGACGACTCTGCCATGTCGAAGTATTGATAACACTAGTCGTCTGCTGATGCTAGCAGGGGAGATAACTCACAACCGTAACTACAGACATAATTGTATCTCCGGCACTAAAGATTTCAACCTTACTTAAGGTTGCCGCTAAGTATCCTTCCAGAGTTAAGGTTGACCAAATGTAGCTTTGTGCAACGGGCGTAACTTTCTATTAACGTTAACTGAAGGTTAACCTTAGTGACTAAGTTCAGACTTACTAAAGGTTGTTTTGTACAACGGGACCCTGGTCCCTTCAACAGGTGAACTGACCGTTGAGACTATGACGTCATAACGTCCAGATGCATGTGACATCACAATACACAAGGAAGTGTAGGGTATAAGTGAAGTTGAAAACTTGAAGTGTTAATTACATAATGATGATAAATTCATGCTAGATAATAGAGTTGAAACTTGAATTGTCAATACACAACAATTGCTAATTACACAAAAGTTACTTGATAGCAGGCTTTCCAAAATGAATAGTAGGCTTTTCAAAAGGAATAGATAATAGGCTTCACATTTATCAAACGTTCCTCAAAAGTTAATCAAGACGTCCCACACACTTGGCAGGTATACACCTTGATCACGATTCATTGCCAGTTTATGTCTCCTCATCTCCACAGCCTCCTGTAGTATCCTCCGACGCCAGGCGTTGTTATTGCTCGAAAGCACCCTGATGAAGGGACCTGGAATGGTCCCGAAACGTCGTGAGGGAAATAAAAAAGAAGTTGTATCCATAAAAATATCTTGGACATCTATGTACAACTTCTAAATTCCACTGAAAGACACAATATTCCAACAGCTCCAGCCTTTGGTGTTTACATTTCACAACTTTTGAGGTACA